GGGGGGGGGGGGGGGGGGGGGCGAAGGCCCCCCCTCGCACCGCTTCGTCTGTGTGTGTGTGTGTGTGTGTGTCCACGCGAAACGAGGTGCCACATGGGTTCATGACGCGCTTTACAACTTAGCATGTACTTTAAGTTGTAAAGCGAGTTCCACGCTTTCAACCACGGGGGGGTGCGAGGGCGGGGGCCGAATCGAGCAACGCAATTGGTCGAAAACTTATGGCTTAATCGTTGTTGTCCGTGCATACTAACATAACCTTAACAGCCAATCGGAACGTCCGACAAAGCTTCGTTTTAAGAAGTCAACAGTATGGATTCGCTACCGCTTAGGGTTGATTTATAATAGCCATAACCGTTGATTTAAGCCGTAATCTTTAAGAAATTGACCAATCACAGTCGAATGTGAGAAGAATAATCGACTGTGATTGGTCAATTTCTTAAAAATTACGACTTAAATCAACGGTTACGGCTATTATAAACCAACCCTTAGGGCCGTGTCTTAAGTTCTTGGCTGTGATTGGCTGATTTACTTACTGCTTGAGTTTTAGGCTGGTTTCACATGGGGCGTAAGATGCGTATGCGTAACTTGCGTCAGCCAATCAAATCGTCTCAGCTACTATACGCGTGTGATACGATTAAATACTGAGACGATTTGATTGGCTGACGCAAGTTACGCATACGCATCTTACGCCTCATGTGAAACCAGCCTTACTGCTTAAGTTTATCTATGTGCCACGGCCTTAAGAGTTTGGCAACTGAGTGAACTCACGTGTATTGGCTTTGGAATAAAACGGCGAGAGCCAATAGAATTATTCTAATCTTTAGGTTGTAACTGAACGATACGTAATCGGGCTACGGGGTACGCGATTTTGTCCTCTAAGTCATCGGTCGCCACTCGGTTTAACCTTAAACTACCGAGAAGGTAGGTATTCGTAATGCAAACGGATCAAAAGTTGAACAATTTGTTTAAACAATTTTATTTTTTTATCCCGCCACGGGTGCCTTGTCAGCATCGCCTGTGCTCTGGATACCGCTAGGTATGACCTGGATCGGCCAGCCAGGGATGCCTGTAGTCCGGACAGCCGCTTGATCAGGTGTATATATATATACGTATATCTCCTTAACCCATTCACTTTTTAGATTCCCGCCACGGGTGCCTCCTCTGTGCTGCTCTGCCTAATGCCTCCGCTATCTATCATTCGCCTGCCTCATCCATGGAACCAAGATGGCCGGACAACCGCTTGATCGGGTAAGTCCCCGCACTAAGGTAAGTCAACGCAACTAATTCTCTTTTATTTTCAGGTTTCGTCTACGGGTGCCTCATCACCATCGCCGATGTCATGGATCACCGCTGCTCACCGATGTCCAGGATCACCGCGTCTGGAAGATGGCCGGACAACTAGGTAAGTATGAGAATTATCCGTATAACTACGATTAATGCCGTTTCTTTTCATGTTTCCGCCACGGGTGCCTCATCTATGGCCTCCTCTGATGCAGGATCGATGATGACCTTGAAGCTCGGTCAACGCTAACACTAAGATGGCCGGACAGCCGCTTGTTCAGGTAAGTTGAAAGTAAGTAACTGATATTTTTGTATAAAATTTTTGCAAATAATTATTGCTTTTATTGTTAACTATCGTTTCACAATGATGGT